GGCACCTGTTACTACTAGCTTCTTGTTACTACTAGTAAGGCACTTGTTACTACTAGCGTGGCACCTGTTACTACTAGCTTCTTGTTACTACTAGTAAGGCATTTGTTACTACTACCGTGGCACCTGTTACTACTAGCTTCTTGTTTCTACGAGCGATGGCCTCCAACCTGTCTAGACAGTAAAGGAACGAAAGGAACAACAGGGTTGCACCATGGTTGCCATTGGCCGCCATTGGCCAGCCAATATCAATCATCAATAGCCTTCCTTGTTCAAACCTGGGAGAAGGGAGACATTCAAAGACAAAATCATCCTTTTGAAATCCATGAGATCATCTCTTTCGCAAGGTCAAGTCAGTACTGTGAAAACCGGACTTGAGGCAAGATTGCACTCCACATATGGAAACAAGGTGGGAGAACGCACCAAGAGTCCCATAGACAGTCACCTTACTTCTCTATCCTAAGTCTGAAGGTCTCAAGAAAAGGGAAACAAGGAGAAAAGGTCTGGTAGCTTCTTGTTACTAGTAGCGATGCACTTGGATCTTAAGGAAGATGAGAAGAGACAGGATGTCTAAAGATGTTCGATGATAGAATTTGGTCGCTTCTGGCTTGTCTTCTGGGCTGCCACACCAAATCAAACCATGTAAATCCATGTGGTGTGGAATCCCAGAAGCACTGTCCTTGTAGTTATGTCACTAGTTCCCTTCACATCCAAGTCCACCCGCTATTCCGTCGTCACATTGACGGCCCTTGTCCACAGCCCTGCCAGCTGCGCATTCGCCTATAAAGCCTAATAGCGCACTCACCCCTAAAGGGATCTGAATGCGCACTCACTGACCTAATAGCAATGGCCTCCACCCTAAGAGCAATGGCCCCTAGTAGCGTCCTTGCTCCTAGTAGCGATGCCCTTTGTTCCTAGTAGCTTCTTGCTCCTAGTAGTAAGGCCAGGAGTCCCTAGTAGCGATAAAAGCAAGAATCGAAAACTCTTTGGGCCAAAGCATTTGCAACATGTTGCAACATGTTGAGTCACTAGCAGGAGTGGTGCATCGATTGAAGCGGCCGCACCGGCACAGACAATATCTCGTAGGAAAAAGGAACATTTTGCCGCATCCTAGGACGCTACTAGGAGCCCCGGCCGTACTACTAGGAGCAAGAAGCTACTAGGGGCTCCTGGCCATACTACTAGGAGCAAGGACGCTACTAGGAACAAAGGGCATCGCTACGAACGGAACTCCTGGCCTTACTACTAGCAACAATAAGGCTACTATTTTTTTCACTTTTGGAAGCGGTCCTGGAAGTTTGAGGGTCTTTTTGTACACAGAATTTCCAACCCAAGACTGCCTCCATGGGATGCCTTTGTGTGGGGTCCTGAAAGACTTCCTTCGCGAGACCCCCCCCGTGCCATGCCACACCACGCCCAGAGCGCCAACAGCGCCATTCGTCTTCGCACCAGGCTTTCCCAACCTCTGGCTTGTTCTTTGGTATGTGATGCTGAAAGCATCTGAAAGCCGCTCTTAGGTTGGAAGCCGTCGCAATTAGGCTGGAGGCCATCGCTAGATCGAGTCACCTCGCGCAGGGAGGTCACACTGTCGGGTGATGAAGGCTCCAGTTGACGCGGACGACGGAGTGCGTTTCTCGACGAATTGCGCTGAGGCGCTGCCATGGAGCTCTCAATGATTGCCGGGCTGCTGGGCGCTGTACCCGGCGTATCGTTCACATCTTTTTATTCGTCCATGGGTTTTATCATTCACCAAAGCAAGGACGGACTTTGGACAACAAAAGTGTTGAATGTGACTTAATTTGTTTTGTTTGCATTCAAGGGAATTTAAACATATGTGTTCGATAAGGCAATATATAACCACATGTTCATCGTTTCTTTAAGACTAGCTGTTTAGGGTTTCTTCATATCGCACATGGCAGCATGGCAGGACCGGAGTTTCTTCACCAAGGATGGGCAACATGTTCTGTGAAACAGTCTTTGCGGCTGGTTTTCGGTCGTATTTAGTAACTACTTGTGTAGTTACATGCTCTTTCCAAGACGCCATGCTGTCTGTGCTGTGGCAATACAGGAGATGCTCCTTGGGAATGGCATCGCAGTGGCTACACATCTCTTCTTGCGCAGAGAGGAGGTCGAGGTCGAGATCTCGGTCCCGTTTCAGAAACGACTCGTTTCCATCTTCCGTCGATTGGTCCTCTCGTCTTTGTTCTTGGCAGTGGTGAATTTCTTCATGGCCTTCTGCGAGAGTGAAATGAGCATGTTGACCTTGGGCTCTGTGCAGAGCTTTTTCAATGCCATCCTCTTGAATACCAGCCACGCACTAACGAAGCCACTGAACCGCAATGGCTCGGTACAGTTGGGTTTTCTCTCGGGGGCTCTACTTCCCATTTTGACCATCCCATTTACGGGCTTTGGACCTAAGAGCTCCTTGCTCAGTCGCCTCGCCTTTTACTTGGTGCCCTCGAGTTTCTGCTTTCTCATTGGGCTACTCATTTGGGCATACCATCGCCGAGTTGCAATGCACTTGGAGACAGCTCAAACGGATGATGCTGATGCAGATGCACCTCGAAACATTGCAGATTTGGCCGAAGCTTACAAGAATTTCAAAGTGCGCAGAAACACTACAGGTCAGGCCGATCAGATGCAGACAAAGCACTTCTTTCTCGCCTTCCCTGCTGTCCTTTGCTGCGACCTCAGCTGGAGAGTCTAAAGTCTCGTGAAGCTCATGGATCAGAGAACCTGATAGCTACTAGGGGCTCCTGGCATCGCTACTAGGAGCAAGGACGCTACTAGGGGCTCCTGGCATTAAGATACTTCTGCAGTGAGACCATGACCTTCATGATCGGACAATTTCAAACAGGCTAAGGGAGGGGACATGTCTCACCCCGTAAATAGGGAAAGCTTGTGGATGAGCTACCACACTTGTGAAGACGTAGACGTGGATCGTTTTCAATCGGGAAGGTTCCTTTGCAATTATGTTTGTATCAAAAGCGAAACCTGTCACCAAGCAGCATAGGATCTTTGTAAAGGATAGATATACCTACGCCTACGATGTATTGCAAAGGCTTGCACCGTTCCTCTACAGGCAGAGACCCCTTTGGGGGATTATGTTTGATTCACATAATCGTCCTTTTCCTTTTTCTTTGTTTCTAACAGCGATGACCGCCAAACTAGTAGCGATGGCCTCCAACCTACTAGCTTGTATGTGGATAATGTAGGATGCTTGTATGAAGATGCAAGTTATATGAACGATGGCACATGTAAACAAGCGGGGGAAGGCTCTGTAAAGGATAACGTTTGGATAGCAGCAGGACAAAATTGCTATAAGGAAAGGCTCTCTATGTAGGAAGGCTATTCTTACACGGACCCTTACAAAGTATTCTTACACGGACTCTTACTGTAGCCCTACACGATGGAAAGGGGCTCCCATTTTTGTTGATCCCTTTACCCTTTTGATCCACCCATTGGTCAAAAAATGTAATCCCCAATGGAAAGTACATACCATCACATATCCATTGATATAGGGTGAGCACGATGAGAACCATTTCAGGAATGGTTTCATGAAGCCTGAATATAGGTGAAAACTTTAAGAAAAAGACTTTAAGGAACCTACTAGCGATGGCCTTCAACCTAATAGCGATGGCCTCCGATCTAGGGTTCCATGAAGCCTGAAAATTCAGGAGCAGACCTTGCGAACTCAAATTTGGAGAGAGGATGGGTTCTTTACAGATTGAGGCTCTTTTGAGGGAAAATGCGTCATTTGCATGAAGATGCGCCTATATGAAGAACAAATATTTGGTAGTAAAGGAAGAGACTTGGAGGAGACCTTCTATGATGCGACAGGAAGTTTGCACCCACGTCATGAAATCAGATGCGCATGAAAGAAAAGCGTTCGAAGCCCAAAAAACCTTTCCACCTGCCAAGGCTATCAAATGTTTAGCTACTTCTTTGCAGGGCTCTTTCCAGTCCTGGCAGATGAAACTGGCACAAAAACGTCTCCTTTAAGTCTTTATTTGCTGATGATCTGTGGAGACATGCTGGGCAGCTTCATCGCTTTCATTTGGACCAGCTTTTGTGAACCCATGGAACTCGCAGCAGCTGGAGCAGCTGGAGGAGGAGCTGGAGCCTTGTTCCGTTCGTAGCGAACATTGCTCCTAGTAGTAAGCCCAGGAGCCCCGTTCGTAGCGATGCGTAGCTTTATTCTTCCGTTCGTAGCGATGCCAGGAGCCCTACAAATTTGCTTCATGGCCCTTTTCCTCTTGAGCCTTCTCAGTACGACCACGGCACTCTTCCCTTCCGTCTGTGCAACACACACCACTTCGGTCCCACTTGGGCACTCGGTGGAGCCTTCGGTGATCCTTCTGTAAAGAAACGCTTCTCCAGCTGTTTTTCTTTGTTAAAAGCCTGGAATTTGGAAGGTAATTAACTGTTCGGGAATTTGGGAGAATGAGATCTTACAAGGGCGCTCTATATATGGGCTCATATTGTTGCCTTTTGAGTGATCTTTGTGATAGTTGTTGGTTTGAACCTAAGCATTTTTTGGAGGTGATCTTTCTGGTGTTCTTCTTTGGGAGTTTTTCCAAAGCTGGGCTCGAAGCGCTTTGCCCGCCGGTGCTTCGAGCGCGCTTGGCGGGTGTCCTCATCGGCCTCACTGCTGTTCTCCTTTGTTATGAGATTGGAACCTTCTCGAAAACCACCGAGAAGGGACGCTACTAGGGGCCTCCTGGCCTTACTACTAGGAGCAAGGACGCCAAAGGAGAATGGATTTGAAGAGTGGATTGAATGGTTGTATTGTGAACTCCATGAGCGCCGCATTCACCTGAGAGTGGAAGGTTGAGACCTCAGAATATGGTGCCGTCCTGTTGCACAGCATTTGGTTTGAAAACAGTAAGACAACCTAATAGCAATGGTTTCCAACCTACCAACGATGGCCTCCAACCTATTAGCAATGGCCAGCAACCTATAAGTACCTTATAGACATAACCTTTGAGTGCTTGAAACAGTTTTCTCTAGACCTATCTTCCTTTGTCTATTGTTTCTTCCATGTTGTTATTGTTTTCCTGCTGACCTTTGTCCTCTTTTTCTTTAACCGTTCATGTTTCTTTGATTTATTTATGTTTGCAATTCCTTTGTCCTTGTCCTTTCTTGTAGATTGTAGATGCGCGTGTCTTGGACATGCCTTTGTGTATAACTTCACATTGCAACTTCAAGCGCCCCGAAACGTATCACAGCAACCTCAAGACCTGGTCTTCTCGAGCATCTTGAGTCGAAAAAAACAAGAATCGAGGTAATCATGTGCTGTGTCAGTGTGTTTTAAAAACAAGTTTCACAATGTGCTGTGTCTCTCTTCTTTGAGAACCAACTGGACTCCAGAGCCTCCCAAAATGCTACACAACTCGCTGTTCAACACGGCTTTGCTCGGATCGAACAGACGGAGTCGCTCACATCGAGTCGACGCCCCGTGAACGCAGTTTGGACACCTGTTTGGGACACAGGCAACATTGTTTCCTAGTAGTAACAACTGCCACGCTAGTAGTAACAGGTGCCTTACTAGTAGTAACAAAAAGCTATTTAGAATTAAGTTAAAATTAATAGTTTCTTGTTACTACTAGTATGGCACTTGTTACTAGTAGTAAGGCACTTGTTCCTAGTAGCGATGCACTTGTTACTAGTAGTTTGGGACACAGGCAGTCATCAAAGGAGACTGGGCTCGAACGTTGCTGCCTTGCGTGCACTCACTTGCTGCTTCACTTGACATTTGCACGAAAGAATGGACAGACTGATCACCAGAGATTTGCACAAATGATATCGAGTTTTTTGTCGGATTTTTTTGGGGTGTTTTTGTTCTTTAATTCAGGTTTCGAGGCACTGCTGTTGCCAAAAGAAGCGCGAGCAAAAACGGAGGAGAAAGATGGACCAAGAGATGCACGGGAAAGGGGAACAAAGCTGTTCAAGAGAGGCATCAACAAGAAAGGGTTCAACACATGCACAACACATTGCACTTCACAGCGTGACAATGGAAATTATTGCTTTTGTTGTTAAAAGACAATAGAGTTGAAGGAAGGAGACTCAAGACAGTTGAAGAAAAATGGTCGAAGAGATACAGTTATCTAAGAGGGGCCAGTAAGTTGAGAAAGAAAGATGATATTGTAACAAAAAGTTTGGATTAACTGCTTTCAAGGAGGAGAAAAGTAAAAGATAAGCAAACGATCTGAAACACAATGTGTTTCTTGACATGTTCCGCTACATAGTAGCAAGGTTCGCTACGTTCGGGGCTCCTGGCATCGCCCCGAACGTAGCTTCTTTGCTCCGTTCGTAGCTTGGAGGCGTAGAGCTTTCGTTTTGCAATTAGTAGCTTCTTGTTACTACTAGTAAGGCACTTGTTACTAGTAGCGTGGCACTTGTTCCTACTAGCGTAGAGCTTTCGTTTTTGCAAAGACATGGCGTTTCTTGTGCCCTTGAGCCGACGTCGCTCCCAGGTCGCTGCTCGTGCCACCGAGCATCGAGAACCAAAAAAGGGCGCCACCGAGCATCGGTGAGAGAGTCCAGATGGCTCGGCTTTGGATCGCTGAAGCTTCATTTGCTCCCACACTCGATGGCCTCCAACCTAATAGAGATGGCCTCCACCTCAAAAAGACCATGTGCAAGTTACTCATAGACTCAAAAGTCTACATTGTCTACGGGAGCACCCTATCATTTCTTGATCTCTGGCCATCTCTCAAACTCCCAAAACACTGTTCATCCGCTCTCAAGTTTTGCAATTGGCCGTGACTTCCACCAAACACGTATTGGTTGCAAGAAGAGTATGTTCAATATGTGGAAACAGGCAGAACCTCCGAGAACCTCCTAGTAGTAAGGCCAGGAGCGCCCCTAGTAATTAGCGTCTTTGTTCCTAGTAGTGATGGCCTCCAACCTACTTGCGATGGCCTCCACCTAATAGCATCCAAAGACTACTAGTAGGGTCCTTGTTTCAAGAAAACGAAGATGGAGAGAACCTCCGAGAACTTGAAATCGTTCTGCGCTCTATAGTAAGGCCAGGAGCCCCTAGTAGCTTCTTGATACTACTAGTAAGGCACTTGTTACTAGAAGCGATGCACTTGTTCCTAGTAGCTTCTTGCTCCTAGTAGTAAGGCCAGGAGCCCCTAGTAGCTTCTTGATACTACTAGTAAGGCACTTGTTACTAGAAGCGATGCACTTGTTCCTAGTAGCTTCTTGCTCCTAGTAGTAAGGCCAGGAGCCCCTAGTAGCTTCTTGATACTACTAGTAAGGCACTTGTTACTAGAAGCGATGCACTTGTTCCTAGTAGCTTCTTGAAATCGTTCTGCTCATGCGTTCCGCTGCATTTTCTTTGCTTCGCACAGCCTTAGAAGATGTTTGAGTTGGTGGGCACTGATTGTGACGGAGGCGACGGAACAAACTGTCGATGTTCGATCCTTTTTGCCCTTTGCTCTTTGCTCCGTTCGTAGCGTCCGATCGCTCCTAGTAGTAAGGCCAGGAGCCCCGTTCGTAGCGATGCACTTCTTACTCGTAGCTTCCTACCCCCCCTGCGCGCGCGCGCGCTAAAAGATCCTAGTAGATTCCTTTGCTAGTAATTACAAGTGCCTTACTAGTAGTAACAAGAAGCTATTAATTTTAACTTAATTAAAATAGCTTTTGGTTACTACTAGTAAGGCACTTGTTACTACTAGCGATGCCTTTGTTACTCGGCTCGGTTCCGAAGTTCGTGTTCAGATGCCAGAGGCTGGGGCGGCGCACACGGCGCAGCATGAAGTGACCGCCCCAAGGCACGGTGGACTGGTTTACCAAAACGAAAAGAAGGAAGCTATTAGAAACAAGAATTAGAATAGAATCTAAATACTTGTAGAATTAATATCAAGAAGCTACTAGGCAAGTGCATCGCTAGTAGTAACAAGTGCCTTACTAGTAGTAACAATGTTCGCTAGTAGAAACAAAATATAGAATTTAATTAGCATCTAATTAAAATAAGCTACGAACGGAACAAGTAACAAGAACGCAGAAACCTATAGAAACCTACTAGCCTTCTTGCTCCGTTCGTAGCGATGCCAGGAGCCCCTTTTGTAACGTCCTTGATCGTAGCAGTAAGGCCAGGAGCCCCTAACGTTAGTAGCTTCTTGTTCCTACCTTTCGCTCCTAGTAGCGATGCCCTTTGTTTCAAATAGCTTCTTGTTACTGCTAGTAAGGCACTTGTTACTACTAGCGAGGCACTTGTTCCTAGTAGCGTCCTTGTTCCTAAAAAAGAACATCAGAAACCCACCAACCTAGAAGCGATGGCCTCCACCCTGTTTATTCTGTTGTCGCCACCCGATGTTTCTTCAGATGTTCTGCCCTGTGCTCTCGATCAGTTCAATCCCGATGTTTTACGACCTTCTCAATACAACCACAATCCTAACAAAAGGGGAAAGCGATATAAGAATGATTGGTGCTGAAATGTTTCTATGATGTTGTATGTGTTTTTTTGGGAAAGAAGCGCTTTCTGTACTCACTGTACTCGTTTCTACCGACAGATGTGCACATGCTTGTGTGCAGCTCCTGGAGGTCAAAGTGGTATTGACAAATTGGTGAAACAAGGAAGCCCAAGGGTCTAGAAAGCCTCTTGAAAAGGAGCGACTTAGACCTTTTGCCCTCCTTTTGTTCTTCTCATTAGGGAAATGTGCGGCGAGATCGTGTCACAAGATCCAGACATTCCATGAGACATGCCCTAAGAGAGGTACTGGAAGCCTCTATCAGCCCCTATCATAGAAGCCTTTTTAATGACAAACTGGACAGCCACATATGGTGTTCCCGTCGCTTTGTGGCCTACGAAATGCCAGTGGCGACACGAATTTCCAGGGTTCAAGTGGAATCTGGGAATGGCGTGGAAGGATTTGGAGCTCAGTTATGTTTGGGCCTCACCAATAATGAAACACATTCCCTCACAAACCTGATGCGTGATGTCATCGCTCAAGAAAGTAACCACTGAGAAGATCGGAGTTTCATGCCAATCGATGCCAAAGCAGTGTTTGTCAGTTTGCCCCGGATCTTCTCTCAATTTGGGGTGTAGAGAGCTAGAGATTGGTGCGAGTGACGGTGCAGCCCAAGCAAAACGAGAACGAGGTAGCAGCTCGAGCGGCCAAAGGTGGAGTGGGGAAGTATTTCAAAAACACGAATCACAAACCACAAGCTTGCTCCGAGCTCCAAGTAGGGACGCTCAAAACGTTCCCGTGCCATACGGCTGCAAGAATCCGTGAATCCGTTTGAGGCCATGAATGGTCTATTCAGATTGCGAGGCCTGGAGGGCACAAGGCATTGTGCGGTGTTCGATGCAGAAAAATGACGCTTGGACACTGCAAGGTCAATGGATCTTGCTGTTTCTTGTGCCGCAACTGCACTAGTAGCTTCTTGCTAGTAGCGATGCCAGTTGCTCCTAGTAGCGTCCTTGCTCCGTTCCTAGCGATGCCCCTGGCTCCGTTCGTAGCGTGTTGCTTGTTCCGTTCGGATCGACGTGCCACGTGGAGAGGAAGCCGTTGCACGGTCTGAGGTCGAAGCCTTCGCACTTTGCGAGAATGAGACAGATGCAAATAGTTTGGGCCTAGGAGCAAGGACGCTACTGGCATCGCTACTAGTAACAAGTGCCTTACTACTAGTAACAAGAAGCTATTAGAAACAAAAACATTAAATTAAACTAAAATAGAATTAAATTGAATTAGAATGCAAAT